ACCCTTATTTTACTTAATAATTCCCTGGCCAGGCATGGTGGCTCATGCCTGTAATCCCAGCACTTTGGGAGGCTGAGGTGGGTGGATCATGAGGTTAAGAGATTGAGACCATCCTGGCTAACATGATGAAACCCCGTTTCTACTAAAAATACAAAAATTAGCTAGGCATGGTGGCACATGCCTGTAGTCCCAGCTACTCAGGAGGCTGAGGCAGGAGAATCACTTGAACCCAGGAGGTAGAGGTTGCAGTGAGCTGAGATTGTACCACTGCACTCCAGCCTGGCGACAGAGTGAGACGCATCTCAAAAAATAAATAAATAAAATAAAAAAGAATGACATCAAACACAGATTGCACCACTGCACTCCAGCCTGGCAACAGAGCGAGACTCCATCATAGATAAATAAATAAATACATACATACAATAAAAATATAATGACCCCAAACACAAGAGCAGTGATGCTGGCAACTTGGCCATGCCAAAGAGAAGCCACATACTGCGTCTTTTAAGTGAAAAGGTGAAAGTTCTCAACTTAAGGAAAAAAAAAATTCATATGCTGAGGTTGCTAAGATCTACAATAAGAACCAATCTTCTATCCATGAAATTGTAAAGAAGGAAAAAGAAATCTGTGCTAGTTTTGCTGCTGCACCTCAAAACTACAAAAGCTACGGCCACCGTGCATAAATGATCGGTGAAGATGGAAATGGCATTACATTTGTAGGTAGAAGACATGAAGACAAATGGGCTCTGATTGATGGCAACCAAGTTCTGCACTAACCCGGGTTTCAGCATCCACTGGGGGTTTTGGGAAGTATCCCCCAGATAAGGAAGGACTGCCGTCTTTGTGATTCCAATGTCCTCTGCTAGTTCTGCTGTTTGACCTACTAATCCTTCAATTCTCTGAGACCCCTTTCTTCCTCCTGATCCCCTTTCCCTAAATCTATTCTTTTCTTAATGCCCAGAAGAGGAACAGGCCAACCTCTGGGGCAGGCCAAGGGGAGCTGCAGCTGTCTCTGTGGCCCCAGCACTGCCTGAGTCTTTCCTCGTTCCTTATAGACTGATACACTGAGAGCCCTGGGCAACGTGCAAAGCTCTTCCAGGGTAATGTGTGGCTTCATGAGCCCTCCTTTTCCCAGAGGTCTCCTCTAACCTTGTTAATCTTTAAGAACTGTAATTTTTAAGGAAGGGGAGGGTATCCAGTAGGTTTCCCTTTTCACATCTCTCATCTGGTTTGGCTTGGAAGTTTGTGTTAGTTTGGGAGCCTGAGAAATTCTTGGGCACTGGACAGAGATCGCAGGAGGTAATCAATCACACAGGTCCCCCATCACAGGATGCCCATGTTGGCACAAGAACGCTGCCCCCTGCCCCATGGGAGAGCTAAGCTGCTTGGGAGCCAGGGTGGCAACAAATCTTTCGGGAGGCTGTTTGGAAATGCTTTATGGCCCACAGGGTTACAAGGCTCTAGCTGAACAAATGGAAAAATTAGTCTACCCTAAAATATCCAAGGCAAGTAATTTCCTATCACCTTGTTTTTCAAATGTACTTAACATCTAGAATCTCGGCTTCTCAAAATACGGATAAGGGTCATCAGTTAAAATGGCAACTCAGAGATAAAAATCTTCCACTTTAACAGTCACTCATAAAATGACGCCATCAGCCCTGCTGTTTGGCCTCAGAGTTAGGAGTCCAAAACCAACAATTATTAAGTATTCTTGATGTAACAGACTTGAACCAGCCAATGAGCAGGACACTTATCCTTTGTCCCCCAAGGCTCAGCAACTGACCCTCTGCTCTCTCCACAGAAGCTCCTCAAAGACACGTATCTGGGGTTAGTTCCCCCTCTGTTGGGACAGTTTGCTTTTCTGCAAAGCTTTTCCAGGGTAATGTGTGGCTTCGTGAGCCCTCCTTTTCCCGGAGGGCTCCTCTAACCTTGTTCATCTTTAAGAACTGTCATTTTCAAGGAAGGTTCCTTTCTCCAAATTTCTAAACTACTTCTTACTCCACAAAGTACTGATGACAACCAGATGGCAGTTTATTTCTTGCATGCTTTTTTTCTTTTTCTCTTCCTCTTCCTTGAATCCTTTTGCTCTTCTTTTCGTTCCCTTTATTCATTCATTCGTTTATTCCATTCCACTCCTTCAATAGAGATTATAAAATACCTCCCTATCAGGAACTAAGAATGCTAATGTATAGGATACAGATGGAAATTCAGCCTTCAAAGAGCTTCCCTTTGGGGCTGGCGGTGCCACGCAAGTGTGAGCAGAGGGGCAGAGCAAGACATTGCAGGCTGCACGGGACTGATGCCTAAGAGCTGGAGAAGGCTGCATTTGATCTACGACCTGGGAGAGGAACAGAAGCTTGCAGGGGAAGTAAAGGGGAAGAGTATTCCAGATTGAGCAAACAGCAGGTGCAAAGGTCCTGTGGCCACAGGCAGTGCAGCACAGCAAAGGGGCTGAAATTAGTGCTCTAGGGCTCAAGTATGAAGTGACCAGGAGCAAGGATGTGGCCGTAGAAATCAGTAGGGGTCAGACCATGGGGGCCTAGCACACCATGATCATGGAGGCCTAGTGCACCAGGAGGTAGAACTGAATGCAGAAAGTGATAGAAGAGTTGGAGTAGAAAGTGCCTTAATTAATTAAAAAAAAAAAAACAAAAAACTGAAGGTTTAACTCATTCTGTACCACACAGCCACAGGAACCTGGGAACAGGGGCTTCCGAGGTTCTCAAGAAAGTCTGGTGTCATTATGGAAGGAGTAATCTGGCCTCTAGGTGGGGGATGGGGGAAGGATGATCGTGACTCACACGAGCCTGAAAATAAACCAGCCCTGTAACTTTAGAGGCAAATGAGAATAAATGGAATCTCTAGGGCTCACTGCAGTTAGACACTTTTTTTTTTTTTTTTTTTTTGAGGGAGAGAGGCCAGATACTGAAATGGGGAGGTTTGCTGAACAATAGAACATCTTCTCATGCCCCTTTTGGCAGGCAAACTTCTTCACAGGCCATGAATAGGAGTCACTAAATTCTAAACCTAAGGTGAGAAGACAAAGTTTGATAAATGTGCCCAGGTACAGGAATAAAGACCCAGAGAGCATGCAGATCACAAAGTTCAGACTGTGACAACCTGTGCTCAGTGTTAAACACACAAACATGCTCTCTCACACACACTAACACACTCACACACATGCCCTCCCTTTCTTTTCTTTCTTTTTGAAAGAGATAGGGTCTCATTGTGTCATCCATGCTAGAGGTCATTGGCATGATCATGGTTCTCTGCAGCCTCAACCTCCTGGGCTCAAACAATCCTCCGGCCTCAGCCTCCTGACTATCTGTGGCTACAAGTGCGCCACCACGCCTGGCTGCCCTCTGTTTCCGTGAACTGTCAGTTGCAAACATCAATTCCTAAAATTCTCATACCTAAAAGGCAAAAGAATTGAAAGTGATCAAAAGATGAGACAGGAGCACATTAAGGAAAGCTGAGGGGAGGAGCAGCTCAGGAAAAAAAAAATGAAATAGAAAAAATATGTTATCAGTCAGTCAAGAAGAGTCACGGCTCCAGAAGTCACATCTTAAATATGTTTCAGTATTTCACGGGTTTATAAACTCCTCTAGTATTCTCATGGGCTTAAAGAAAACTATTGCATACATTTTGTTTTATTCTCCAGCAAATCTTGCCCTGCTGCTATCACTTGAGGAAGTGAGTAAGAAGGTCTGTCCTTTAATTATTGACCAAACACCTAGGTTACAGAGCTTAAACCCTTTTAATGATGCATAAAACCACACAAGGGGCCGGATTAGCTTGTCCAGTGTTAATTAGAGCCTTTCCTGCACATTCTTTCCCACCCTTTATTTCATGACCAGGAATAGTAAAGCCTAAGTTTTCAAATTTATGTTAAATCTAAGAGGTTAAAAAAATGTAAGGCCAGTTAAGTGGAGAAGAAGCTGTGTACAGAAGGCTTACTAGATGTATATATGCCCTCAAGTCAGGACTCTTAAGCCAGCAGTATGCAGCACCCTCTCTGATGTCTTGTTATGGAAGAGCTCTCTGGATGATCCAGGCAATTCTATGCATTTTTTAAAGAGTGGGCATTTTTCAAAATGGCTCCTTCTAATAACCAACAACTCCCAGCAATGATGAAAGTCACCATCATTTGTCAAGCAATTTGGTAACATCTAAAAACAGTTCCCTAAGAACTGCTCCCCTCCAACACACTGTGCGCGCGCGCGCGCGCGCACACACACACACACACACACACACACACACTATAGTTTTCTTGAGTCCTCTTTCAAAGCCATCTCTGTTGCAAAAGCCGCCTCGGGCAAGGAGTTGGAAATGAATCAATCTTGGCAAAACGGGAAATGATTTTGGGGGACAGAATTAAACTTGGGTAGTTTTTCTTTCCTTTCTCAATTGTACTTTTGTTCGTAGCTTCAGCTGGGGAAGAGAGTGCACACGTTTAATTGGGAGTTTATGAGTTCATATTTTATAATTAACGTTGCCAACAGGGGAGTTTGATTAATGCCAAGCAGTGGATTTTGAGCAATGTTCCATACAAATTGCCAAATTTAGCAATAAAATAAATTGGTTATGCGAACATAATTAGTAGGATGACTATTTAAAATTCAAAACCGAATGTGAATAATTCCAAATCATCTGAGCCACAAATCCATTATGTGTATATAAGGGGGAAAGTATAACATTTGGGTTTTATTTTGCCCTCAACCACAGTGTTATTCACCACCAAGCTGAACAGAATGAAACTTCCACAATGGGTTGTGGAAATATTTTAGAGCCACTGAGAAACACACATATACATGCATGCACACACATAAAGGGAATGTAAAAAGGCAAGATACGCTAAACTGCGAATTTTCATTATAAATTTAAAAATCTATAACAAACTTTTCAACAAATGCTGCATTACATTTTTCCAATGTGCAATATATAAACCTCAAATGCACAGTTTTGCAGCAGAGCTTTCTCCCTGTAAATACTCACAGTACCTTGTTGTCACCCTGGACTTCTCCAAGCCTTTGCTGAAGTTCTTTAATTTCTTCTCCCAGATGTTTATTTCGGTCCTGAGAATCTCTCAATAGTTGTGCAAGATTCGCCTACAAATATCAACACGTTATGAAACAGAATGAGAAATGGAGGAGTAGATAAATGCAGGGCTCTATCGGGCTTGTGGATGCTGGCGTCCAACCCCAGCTGAACCCCACAAAGCCTGTTATAGTAAACACATATATGAATGCAGCCAGTGTGTGAATCACGCCACTACAATGGCACGCAGGAAAATGAAGTTGGCCATGAACCTCAATTTGGGGATATTCTTTTGTTTCCAGAATGGCTCACAGAGGGCACTAGGACAAGCAATGGAAGAGTCAGTCTTATTTGAGTTAAAAAAAAAAAAAAAAAACTGTGAGGCTGAGGCAGGAGACTTGCTTGAACTCGGGAGGCAGAGGTTGCAGTGAGCTGAGATTGTGCCACTGCACTCCAGACAGAGCAAGACTCCATCTCAAAAAAAAAAAAAAAAAAGAGAGAGAGAGTTTATCACTAAAAATCTTGAAAATGGACATAGCGTTCAATTGTGAAATTTGGGCCAGGCCAACAATATAGAAAAAGCTTCATTTTCTTGTTTAGATAGCTTTTGTTTTTCTTCAAATATATGTGTTTTGTCTCATGAGTTTTTGTGTGTGACCTCAATGCCTAGAATTTTGATTACAATTCCAGTGGGCGGCCAGAAAAGAGGTCAGTGACGAGCAACAATTTCTGAAATCAGGATCCAGAAGAAATGCAACAGTTTCCTGGGCTGGTTTTCCCCCTCTTTATTTCCTTATTTTACCTCACATCTGGGAGAAGTACTAAATAGCCAGGATAATCGCCTTTCATTCCCATCTTCATGACATCATCCTTTCCTTAAGATTTGCCTCCTGTTGGGATCCAGGTCCCTCCGATCTCCACGGCCGGTCCATCAGCCAGCCTCCCCTTTTGGTGTGGCTCCATCTCACAGCCTCATCGTTCCTTTTCCCAGAGCATGCAGACACCTTTTGCCATATCCTCACCCCTTTCCCACATTTCCTGAACCTGGGATTCCTGGCTGCCCATCTAACTACCTACTCCAGCCTTTTACTCATATTCCTCCTCGCGCACATGGCTTCTTGTTCTCCTGTACTATTCTTATTTAGCTAATGGACTTGCCCTAATTCTCACCTGACTTATCACATTCTTATTGAAACTTAGCAGGGAGAGACTGCAAGCTACTGAAAGGCAGAGATTCTGCTTTCTGCTTCCTCCCCTTCCATGTGCGTTGTTCCAGACAGTGCTCAGGTACCGACGAGTGTTTTAAAAGCTCATGATGAATAAATGAAGAAAGAAAGGAGGGAAGGAAGCAAGTAAGCAATCCGAACAGTCCTCCTGGAAGGGGAAATCATTCAAGGAGAGTCAAACAAGGGATATTAGAGATGATCTTAATATGAAAGAATCCTTTCCTGCTACAGCTGAAGAAACCCAAATCCAGAGAGGTTAGGGAACTAGCCAGACTGGAATGGCGACATTTCCAAATACTTCAATGCTAATACTTTGGGGAATATGCACCTATGGTGGGTACTAGAAAGAGAATTAAAGGGAAAAGATAACGACTATATGTTGGCTGACCTGCCTTATCCCATTTGTCCTGTTGTCTTACCTACCAGGTCTCCCCAACTCATGCTCACCTCCCTGTGGTCCCCCACACAGACCAGGCATGATCCTATCTCAGTGACAGGGCCCTGCTCTCTCTGCTTGGAATGCTCTCCCTCCAGAGAGCCTCTTGGTTCACTTCCTCACCTCCTTCAGTCTTTGCTCAAAGGTCACCATCTCAACAGGGTCCATCTTGACCGGTTGATTTAATACTGAAACCTTCCCCTGTGCTACCTTATCTTTTTTTCTGGAGCACTTGCCATCTGTTAATATACCATATCATTTACTTCATGGTTCATTGCTTACTGTTGCCTCCTTGTCTCCCTCTCCTTACTAAAACGTAAGTTCCATGAAGGGCAAGGAACTTCGCTGTCTTTACTGACCTCTCCCAAGCACGTAGTAGATGCTCCATAACTATTTTTAAAATAAGAGGCAATAAGCTGCGTGTGGAGGTTGCGCTCTCACCAGGAGAGATCAGGAATAATAAGAGTGGGCACCAAGACTGAAACCAGTGCCTGGCATGGAGACTTGCATAGAAAATCATTCATTCCTGGCTGGCTGCTGAGGTTCACGCCTGTAATCTCAGCCCTTCGGGAGGCCAAAGCGGGTGGATCACCTGACGTCAGTATTTCAAGACCAGCCTAGCCAACATGGTGAAACCCTGTCTCTACTAAAAAATACAAAAATTAGCCAGGTGTAGTGGCACATGACAGTAGTCCCACCTACAGTGGAGGCTGAGGCGGGAGAATCCCTTCAATCCGGATGGTGGAGGTTGCAGTGAGCTGAGATCGTGCCACTGAACTCCAGCCTGGGCAACAGAGAGAGACTCTGTCAAAGAAAGAAAGAAAGAGAAAGAAAGAAAAAGAAAGAAAGAGGAAGAGACAGAGAGAGAGAGAAGGAGGAAGGAAGGAAGGGGGGGAGAGAGAGAGAGAGAGAGAGAGAAGAAAGAAAGAAAGAAAGAAAGAAAGAAAGAAAGAAAGAAAGAGAAAGAAAGAAAGAAAGAAAGAAGGAAGGAAGGAAGGAAAGGAAGGAAGGAAGGAAGGAAGGAAGGGAGAAGGAAGAGAAGGAAGGCAGGAAAGAAAAAGAAAGAAAGAAAAGAAAAGGAAAGGAAAGGAAAAGACAAGACAAGAAAAGAGAGAAAAGAGAAAAAAGAAAAGAAAACAAAAGAAAAGAAAGAAAGACATTCATCCCCATTGGCTGGATGTAATCAAGCCCTGATCTCCACTTACTTATTTGAGAATATTACTCAGTAACTCCATCCAATTTTTCAGCCCCCTATTTGCAAAGCTCCCATCTTGTAATATTTGAGTTCTAATTTTCCCAGATTTCTGTTCTCCCAAGACAAAAATTCAGTGATGGATGAGGAAAATCAAAACCTATTTTGTAGGTAGGAAAGTAAAGAAACAAGAGACACTGTGAACAAATGACTGCCTTTGGAAATTTCCCTGAATGGGAGGAATCAGAGAGACGAGGCTGCATTCTGATCATGCCACTTCCTGGGCTCGATGACCTGGCAGGAGTTTCTTAATCTCTTGGGTCTCTCATCTGTAAGGTGGAGCTAGCAACACATAGTGATTTGATCTTTAAATAATGAACACAGAATGCCTACCACAGTGCCCAGCATCCAGTGTGCACTCATTAAAGGTGGGATACCTCCCTCAACTGTGCCCACCCCGTGACTCCTACTCTAACACTCAGTGAACAGAGCTGTGTAGATGCAGTGAAGGCTTCCTTGGACACAGCTGACTCCTTTGCAATCCTGCCCCTTCACTGTTGATTGTTCATTCATTCATTCATCTGACAAATATTTATTGGACACCTGGCATCTGCTTGGCACTGTTTTAGACCTGGAGATACAGCAGCAAACAATACAGACAAAACCCTTACCCTTGGAAACTGACATTGAATGGGTGACATTACATTAACTGCATTATATTACAATAGAATATACAATGAATCCATGTGTTAGAGGATAACATGCTGCAGAGAAAAATAAAGCAGGCAAAGGGAACAGAATGTGCTGGAAGAAAGGGCCACAGAAGGTTTCAATGAGAAGGTCACATTTAAGTCAAGACTTGAAAAAGGAGAGAGAGAGCCTTGTAGATATCTTGGAGAAAAAGTCCCAGACAGAGGAAAAGGCAAACAGACTTCCCTCTCTCCCTCTCCCCATCACATCTCAAAACTTCCATTTGGAAGCACAGCTCAAGGCCACAAGAGCAGGCTGACCACAGGGACTGCAGTGAAGTCAAGAGATGACTCAATTCTTGATTTTCTTTTCCTGGTTCCCCCTCTCCATCCACAGCTCTCCTTCCTTAGCTCAAGGTGTCACATGTGGGTGGACTCTGCCTTTCCTCCACAGAACTCCAGAACATTCCCCAGACATTAGCTCATTGATCCTTTCCCCTGGCAGCAAACATAATTCCTCCCTACCAGATGGAGGGCCAGGCCACTGGGCAGCAGTGACTATCCCTGGGGAGAGGCGGGAGGAGCAGCCCAGCGCTTGCTCGGTCTGGGAGCTGGCTGCCAACTGCACATTCAGGTGAATCTCAGCATCCCCATCTGGAGGAAATGCAGCAAAATCCACCTAAACCTTCATTTAGCAGAAGAGAGGCCCAAAGAAATGTCTGTAAGGGCAACAATGAAAATGTAACAAAAGACAAGGGAAAAAAAAATCTCCAACCTCCCTAACCTTCCCTTTTTAAATCAATATTTCCTTAGTGTCTGGTGGGTGGGAAGATCCTGACATTCACTGACCAATCTAACTGCAGTGGCTACATTGGTAGCTACTGGATTGGTAGACCAGTACAACTCAATCTATTGGTGGGGAAAGACCAGTTCTCTTTTTCCAATCCACAACAGATCAATACTTTTGTAAAATCTAATAAAAATGAATTACTAGGCAAATAAGAAGACAAGAAGATAAAACCCCAAATGTGTATCATTAGATTCAACAGACATAAAACCATGCTGTCAAAATTGCTATGAAAGTTTCTGAACACTTACTCTCAATTTCTGTATGTATCTTGTCATGGACCAGAAACAATTAGGTTGCAGCCTGGCCCTGGTCCTTGGGCCTCACTTTAAAAAGCATTGAGCTCACATGGTTTTCCCAGGGATGTGGAAACTAGGAAGACACTCGGTATAAAAATCAGTCGATAATTCCAGTGATGACCAGGACAGAGGGCAGGGCTGCTTTAGGAAACAGTTATTTAGAGACCCAGTGATGTGATTATTGAACATGATTTACTCTGCAGCCTGGCTGAAAAGAAATCTATGAAGAGCCAGGCGTTTCTACATTAGCTGCAAAACAATGGTTTATTAAAATCGCCATGCCTCCAAGTGAGTTCACTGTAAATGTACCCCAGCTTCAAACTTGACCCCTGGAGTACGGTGGGGTGGGGGCGGCGCCGCTGCTTCAAAGCAGGTGACTGTA